TTATTTTTTTAATACATTTTAACTCTCTTCCTTAACCACGCATCTTTTTGTACTTGTATAAAGGCTTTTTTTGTAGAAAAAAGAATAAAAAAAAGAACGTCGCCACCGTTAAAACATCCCCTTGTATTTCTTCAATTTCCTCTCGTCGTCCAGATGTGGCGGAATGATTCGCTTCCATCGCGAACGCTGCGCTGTTTCCTATAATTTCACTTTTCCTCCATTAACCGCCAATGATCATATGATTATCGCGAGTCTCTTTTTCTCTTTCGTTATTCCATTATATCCCCCATGGCCTCACGACAGCCGCCAGAGATGGTGTCGATTCTCGCTCCGGGTTGGCTCGGGTTTTTTTCCCGCGTCGTCGTATCTGCCAAAGGTATCCGACCGTTTCTCTTTTTCTTCGTCGTCGACGTTTCGAGAGATCGGCGCCTTTCTCCTTTCACTCGCGAACCCGCAATGGGATCGCATTATCCTGAGAGAGGAAGGACGAACTTCTTCACCTGGATATGACGTAAGTCCTCAGCATTTGAGCACGCGGAAAAAAGGCCAGTTGCAAAAGAACATCACGTACGAGAAAGAAAAAGAGAGTGAAGGAAGAACCTGATCATCGGTCAAGATTCGAAAGTGGCTTGGCTCTGCCTTTTCGTTTGAGGCGAATATTCTCGGATTATTTGGCCAAAGGATATCCGGGAGGATAGGGGGATTTCGTTTTTTCTTTTTTTGTACTTTCGAGAAGCTTCCTGTATGGTACCGTCACGATCATGAGATGCGCTCCTCTTTCTCGCTCGAGTCATTTCACTTGAAATTAGCATAGAGTTTCTTGATTACAGATGACGTAAGTCGCTTGAGTGTATGAATTTATCTTGTATAAATCATCATGATTTCGCTAAAATGTAATTTCTAAGGAGAAGATATACTGTAAGACTTGATATGTCTTTTATTATCCTTTTCTACATTTCAACTTCCTTTGAAGTTTGAAATTTAATCTCACAACAAAATGACTGTAAATTTATCAATCGATAAATAATCGGGATGTATGCGGCGTGAATGAGTACTTAACCATATATAATTTGATCGAGTATAAAAGCATTCAAATTTTAAACTCTTCTTTCATTATGTTAAATAATTATCAAAAATGATAATTTTTGTTGATATTTAAAAGAAGGAATAAGAAAAAGTTCTTTCATCGATAATAAAATCAAGTAAGAATATTTCAATTTGTATTGTCAAATTTAATTTTTATTATATACTTCTTTATTAGATTAAATTTAAATCAAACTCTAATTATTCTATTTTTATATAGATAAAGCCTCTTTTTAAACTATAGCCAAGAATAAGAAACTAAAAAACGATTTAAAATGCGTCTTTATTGGATTAGTTAAGCCTATCGGCCCGTTAAAATTGTCTATATACACTCTTGAAAATACTTAATTAACATGTTTAACTGTCATCAGACATTTATGACGACATTCATCTGCGGCGGTTTCATGCAATATGCATCATAATACGCATTTACGATAAGTTACATACAATGACTATTCAAATTTTCCTTGTAAATTCCAGATAACAAATGAGCCAATTTTAAATCCGAAAAGACGGCAAAAAGATATCATTATAGCAGATTTACGATGAATAGCACATTTGCCGCGAAAAATAGTTATCTTTAGAAATGGAATAAATATTTATTATAATATATGTAGAAGTCTTTGTAAAAAAGCAATAATGTCAGGGTCGCGCATCATGACAAAATCATAAGTTAATCATGGTGTAATTAGTCTTAAATCAAATCATTATATAAATTCTTATTGTGCTTTCAAAGTTTTAACTAACATAAGTGTAACTTCAAATGATTATATCTGCTCACAAATAAATTTTCTCTATATTTCTCGCATGTAGCTTCAAGATAATGTGAGATGACGTTTATACATTGTATATATATATTTTATATAAGAAAAATCACATAAATTATAGGTGCGTTAAGAATTATGTAACGAGAAAATATGTTAATATCGCTAATTTAAACGGTACGGGCTTGGAACGTAGTTACGTAAGAGGGTGAGTGCCAATAAAATAAAATATTATCGACATTATTGCATAGCTTCGAGAGAATTTATCGAGTTCTTCGTTGTAATTTCGATGAAGAGAAATACATCCTCTACATCAGATTGCAGAGATTGTATTCCGCAAAATCGTTGTCGACGAATGGTTGTTTATTCCGCGCCAGTTATAATTTTGTGATCGACATGATATTTTACTTATCGTATTGTTGAATATCTTCCAAGTCAATAAAGAGCTTGGTAAGACACAAATGCAAAGCTTAGCGGAAATAAAGAGCAAGGAAAATAAATTTATGTTTCACATAAGATGAGAAATGTTGCGCACGTTTGGAATAATTTTCGTGTCAATAGAAACTTATTCTCAAGCGTGAGAAGCCTGTTTTCATAACACTTAAACCATTTGCCATACAAATTAGAAATCTTAAAGAGCAGTGAAGTTGCTAATATTTTATGTAATGGAATAAAGTTTCGAGTAATAAGAATTTGGTCATATATATTTGTCATATATATATATATATATATGTCCTATTTTAGAAATAATTATATAAAGATAATTATATAAAAACTAGACATATAGAGAAAGTCTATGAATTAAATGGAAATTCAAATAATATAAAATATATATAATCAAGAATTTTCTAATTCTCAATAGTTCCATACCAAGAACACGGTGTATCATAAGTTACTATTTAATTAAGAAATTAGACAAGATACGCATAAAGCAATAAAAAACAAAGATTTTTTAAATTCTGAAAAATCATCTCTTTTCTCTATTAAAAATAATAATGCGATTATCGTGTAAACAAGCGTCTTACGATTCTACTTGGCAATGCGCAGCATGATAATGATTCCGTTTGTTAAAAATAATTTCGTGAAAGATGCCGAGAGAAGCGCGGTATCGGCCAATCTGTCCTGAAAGACCTTACGTGTGTACCTGTGACATCCAGCGGGGAAAGTGCTGCGCGTCAGGGGGTACGGTGAGATCGGCAGGAGGGAGATGTGGAGAGACGCGTGTGAGAATCTCCGTGGAATTTTGCAAGAGGCGCGCGAAAGATGTGCTCGTCCACCAGCGTGCGAAAGGAGAAAAATTCGCACTAACTTGGCTCGATCGACGTTCCAGTTACAAGAACAGAGTCGTGTCGCGATCGTCTTTTTCAAATAATAATTTATCTTTCTTCCCTTAGGCTTAGAGCATCATTAGTACTGATGTAAAACTGGAACATCGTCTGAAATATAAATTTATTATATACGACAGAGAATAAATTTAATTTTTAATGTGTTATTAAAATAAAAATTGAAGAGAGATCTTTATCAAAACTAGGATGAAAAAAGAATCCGTAAATTTTATTCACATTACAGACCGATAAAGATGTAAAAAAAACCTTTTTTTTTCTAATAGATTGGAAAAAAAAAAGAAACAAATTTTGTTTTTTATCATTATTTTTTTTTAAATATATTATTTTCCGTTATTTTCTTTTTGTTAACACAAAAAAAAATTAAAATTTTTATATATTTATTTTTTTTTTCGAAAGTATTTTTAATTGATTAATGAGACTTTTGTGGCAAATTACATAAAACTCGACATGATTCGGATAATTTTCAATTAGATGCATAATTATATACATATATAGCCAATTGGAATGTGAGCTACATTTAAAATAATAATGGTTAATTCAAATCTATCATCTAAAAAGTTAAAAATAATGAAAAATCAATTTGCAATAATCAAAATATTAAAATATTAAATATTCAAAAAAAAAAATTTTTTTGAAAAAAAGACGATGCTTGTTTTTTTTCATAAAAAAACCGGATTTTTTGTATTTTTTCTATTTACATCTCTATTGACCGATACTTGAAAAAAAGTCATCTTTTAGGGAACTTCAACTTCCGGATAAGTCGTTTAATACCCACAGTTTAATCAGCGAACTCGATCTGCCGCGAAGGGAAAAAATCTAGCGTGCGAAAAGGAGAGGAGTGTGTTGAGAGAGGAAATCCGCGATGTAGACAATGCCGCCAGCGTTACCAATTATGGGAAGCAGAGATTTGTCGAAACGCGTGGATGAAGCATATCCCGGATCTTCACAATGGGTCTCCCCGTGCTTTCGCTAGTCCCATTTCTGTACGGGACTTTTGATAGGAGTACACGCGCCGGATGTACACGCACGTTACTCAACGCTTAACGTATGTCTCATTGCAACGTCACATTAATCTAGAAGGGATCGAGAGGACAGCTTCGATGTACCGCTCCGTTTGATATGGCAAACCATTCACTTTTTTTTTTCTTTTTTCGCAACTTCAAGAATGACGTAGAATCGCGTGTCGTCAGATCACGCGTATCACCAGGTCGCACGTGTTTTAATTAGATACCCTATCTTACGCGATGCACGAGATATGAATCAACGAAACGATGTCCTCTTTCCTGGGTCCAACATGATTTCATTTTGCACGCGCGGAGATTAACAAACTGTGCGAGACATAGAATCTTTTTTTTGTTAGATATATTAGAGCCGACTTATAAATTCTATTTGAGATTTACAAATATTCTATACGAATGTTCGGTACATCTTGAAACTAGCGAATCAATGAATCCATCGACAAGATGCTTGCACAATCGTGTAATTGGCGTTACATCTTTACAACATACAATGCCGCAAACGAGCTTGTAATTCCCGGTATAAACGACCGTGTATAACGTTACTTCATATGCAGGGGGGCATGTGAAGTAACTCCTTATATATTAAATTCCAGAAATTCTTTCAATCTGAGGTCCATATTTTCTTCGCCACGCAAATGTCACGCTGAAAGTCAAGTTTGAAAATGCCTATTTACAAGATTACATATTCAATGATACATAAATAAATACAACTTTTTAAATAAATATCTTCGTTAATTAATCATCAATTATACTAGCTACGTAACTTTTCCTGTATAAAATCAGCTGATTACCTTTTAAAATCAATAAAACACATATATACAATTAAAATCATAGCATCGATTACTACTATGATATCCAAACATAAAAATTGTACTAATCACAATTCCGTGTTAATAGCACAGTTAATGATTTTATATATAAGTCTCATTAAGTACAATAAAAAATTATGCGAAATTAAAACTCCGTTTAGCAAAGTTACCCACACCATTTTTTTACTATGATAAATTTCAAGTTGTAACTGATTCAAATATTTCTAACGACAAGAGGAAGAAGTGAATAGAATCAAAGAAGAAATCGTAACCGCAATCGAGCTATGCAACGAATGTGTGAATGTTCGTGCAAGTCACGCTTGATTTACCTGCTCGCACGCACGCATATGCGTGCCCACACACATACACACACGACCAAAAATTGCTGCGAATCCGGTGTAATAGCCATTGATTATTCCGTAAAGGCGCTTCTTTCGTCCTGAGAAAGCGAGGAAGGGGAGAAAGTTACCGGGAAAATCATCCGGGTCTTCCGAGAGCATCCTGTTACTTTTGTCCGTAAATCTGTAAGGAGGAAGGCGCCGAGCACATCTTACCCGGCCAGTTGCATCTTCCGCGAACGTCGATGATTACATATCTTACGCGCTGGCCAGACGATTTACGATTCAAATGATCCGGGAAGAAATAATTGAAATAGAAATGAGCGGAAGCATGACCTGTTGTGTGGGCTACCGTTTGTTCCAACCGCGCGAATAGAAAATTAATTATTATGCAAGGTATATGTAAACTGATTCATTTCACATTGCTCGCGCGAATCCCAAAACGGTAACAGAAATGTCGAAACAATTTTTTTAATTATAAGCGATTAGACAGGAAAGGGTTTCTCGCAAATTTTAATTTACAAAGCGGCTGTAATACATATGTAATAGAGAAACGTTCTTTTTCAGTTAAATTTAATCCAATATTGGCATTATTAATCATTACTAAATTTTCCTAAATATGCGTTACCACATAACTATGTATTGCTTTGGCATAGTAAGAAACATTAATAAAGATGTATCAAAAACTTAATATTATAAAAATCTTTTCATCATAAAAATGATAGATTTTTTTTTTTTTTTTAATAAAAATGTTTTTATTAAAAAATCTACTTTCTAATTTATCAAATTATCTTATTGTGTATTTCATCATGAACGCAAATCGGCAACACAGCCAATGTAATCTAAAATAAAAAAGACTATCAATTTCATTTTCAATGATTCAGCTATAATTCGTGAGATATCACTCATTAGCGCTTTCATTATTAAATACCTAATGTAGATTTTATCAAGCACTTATATATAAATTTATGTAAACATCGAAGTATATAAAAAATTTTTGTAGGAATATGAAAAAAAAAATAATAGTATGGTACAAATGCATCAAATAGGATGATACATATTCTTATGTTTAAATTATAAATTTATCATTAATTTAAAAACAGGTAAAAAGAGACATTACATATTTGTTTTATACTGCAATGGTTAGTCCGATATCATTCTTTTGTAAACAGACTTATGATAAAAATTACAAAATACTGCTTTATTGTTAAAGTAAAAATAATATAATTTAATAAATTTTCTTGTATGTTACTTTGACTTACATTCCATTTCAATATTTACATTGTATTTCTTCTTTCTCAGCCAAGCACAAGCTTCACAATTAATGTTAAGATATTAAAGAATATCAAAGGAACTGAAAATTGACATTATATGAAAAATGTAATAATCAAAATCTTAAGTAATTAGTATTGAAATTACTTACCCCTCATCACAGTTCGTATCGATTTAATAAGATTCAATATTTGTGATTTAGCTGTCGGAGGTTCTCCAAATCCTTGCACATTTTGCCACGATGCCCAGCCAACTGTAATAAATATATTTAATGTTAATTTTAATATTGTAATTAAAAACAGATATACGTACAAATCTTTTTTAGACTTTATCTTTTAAAACACATTATAACCTATAATATATTATTCATTGTATAAAATATCCATTAATAAAGATGTAACAAATAAAACAATGAAACCATGAATGTGTTTGATTATTACCTTTGGCAAGAAACCTTTCCTCATTCAAAATGCAAACTGCATTTAGACATAACAAAGTTGCTTCGAAAAGTGTCCATAGTGTAAACGCCATATTGCCGCAATTATCATGCCAGCATTACCAACAATTTCTTACAAAAGGACTGTTCGTTTTAACCATAGACATAGTATATCTAGACCGAGTGTTGAGGAGTGAGGGCCAAGGTGCACGTAGAAAAGCTGATTGGTTAATGCAACGCTTCGAAGCATCTCTAGCGTCTTCTCGACCGCAGCCATAATCTCTGTGACACTATACCACCGACGAGATACTATTAAAGACCGTCAGCCCTGGTTAAACTTTTGTGACCATCAAGTGGGCCCGGAGGTAATTGAAGAATGTTGACATTACCGGCCGTTTGATTGGATCGAAGATAATTACACGTATTATTTAATTTGTATGGTTATTTTACTTCATCCAGTTATTATTTTATTATCGAAAACACTGACGAGATATTATTAGAGACCGATGGTCTTATAGGATTTAGCACATTACTGGGAAAAAACTCGCCACGTGGTACTGTAGGTAAGTAAATCTTTGCATTGTTGATAATAAAACAGTAAATTTACGATAAAATGTTTATTTTGTTGTTCTTAAGGCAGTTATATAAAAGATCTATACATTTTTGATAATAAAACAATGATTGGATAAACCAAAATAACGCGCAGCGAGTTTTTTTTCCAGTCACACTAAATCCCACAAGACTACCGGTCTTTAATGATATTTCGTCGGTGACTACACTGATGGACCAAAAAAAATTTTATAGACTTCAGAAATTCTCTTCGAGCCAATTGACATATTTGACAAACTTGTATGGCATATGAAATATTGATTTTACACACGATTTTAATTTTTCTCTATAAAAATACTTTACTACATATACTACATGAACTCTTACATTTTTCTTTCCATTGATGATCGTGCCTCAATTTTTCAAATAATTCTATATTAATCCAATAGTTAAATTAACAAAATCTTAACAATTAAAAAATAGAGGAAAATAGAATAAAAAGTGCAAATGATAGAATTATTGATTCAAATATTTTTCATGTTATTTCTCTTATATTTATCATACATAAGATTCGGGAAATTCGAATGTGATATCCCGTCCAGTCAATTGCTTGTACACTGAAGCAAAAGTGTCAACCTGTCAAAAGAGATACATTGAAATATAGTTATCCATTATATAATAGGATGATTTCATATAAACACAATGATCTTATATAAACACACAAAAAAAGGAAAATAAATGAATGTACCTTATGTTCGATGTTTGTCTGCTCATTTTTATCAAGATGAACTTTAATAAGCTGTGATCCATCAAGTTTCACTCTGATACGCTTGCCAACGATTTCTACAGGATACACTAAATCCTCCAATATTGCATCATAGACAGAAGTTAAAGTGCGGCTAAACAAAGATGTATTATACAATGTTAATTGTACACATATATATACACATAGGATTCTATAGATGATTTTTTAATGCCATGTTAATTATATTCTCTTTCATTCTCTTACCTTCTAGGACGTTTCTGCTTGTTCTTAGTACGGGTTTTCCTTGTTGGTTTGGGCAAGATCTTACGTTCGCCAATGAACATTACATGTTTTCCAGAGAACTTCTTTTCCAATTCACGAACTAGCCTTGTTTGAATTTTCTGGAATGCTTTCAACTTTGGCATTGGCACATATATAATGATTGACTGTAAGAAGACAAAATTGTCATGACATAGCTTTCTCAAGAAGTATTATATTTATAGCGAGATATATGTATATCCAAATATATAAATACTTAAAGCAAAAATCTGATTAAATCTATATGTTTGTGAAGTATAAGAAAAAGAATTTTTTTTTTCTTATAGAACTTTATAAACATGAGTATAAAAAGATCAAGTTTACAGTTTTGATTTAAAAATAAAAACATACTGTAAAAGAGATACCATGGATAATATACAAGCTGCGTGAATTAATAAAAATTTACCTTCTTGTTGTTCGTTTCTATTTCTTTTGCTTTAGTGATGTAGAGTTCCCTCAGCTGCGACTTGAGATCGCTATTCATTTCCAATTCGAGAAGAGCTTGAGAAACGCTTATCTCGAACTGGTCGGGCTCAGCCCCACCACTTTTAATTATCTTTGCATTCGTCATTAACATCTGAAAAGATTTTGGGATTAAGACATTAAAATCGTGCAGTTTAACAGAACCTACCGTTATCACAACATATTATGCGATTTAAATAATTATTATATACTTATATAATATGGTATTTTATACTCAATTACTATACATTTTATTCAATATTGAAAAAAAAACGCGCATACCTTGCTAATTGAGCTTGTTTCTTCTTTTTCTTTATAAATTTTCGTCTCTGCACGTCTTTAGAACCACGAGGTTCTAATCAAAGAGAAGCCTGAGAGGGGCCATGCCACGCTGGTACAGTAGCGCCAACTGGATCCATTCTAGAGCCGGCGAAAGGCGGAACTACATGGGCAAATCACTTTTCGGTACACGATAAAATGTTGTACCCAGTTTGACATCAGGATGTGATTTCAACTTTTGGTTGCAATTGGGGCGCACTCGAGAACACAGTAGGCCCTGAATTTGGCAGCCTTGTTCGACAAGAAATTGTTTGCCGTTTGTTAACAATCCGCAAGCAAATGGTTAAGGCTATCGCACACAAATTCCTTAGCCGTAGCATTAAGACGTACCATAAGGATTTAGCCAATAATGAGCGTAACCACAGATTAATAGACAGATAGCCAAAGGCACCGGAAATACATACGACAAATTATGTAACATTCATTCGTTCGTTTATTGATCATCGATCTGTACACATCTTACTCGTGAATTAAATATCCAATCGGCTGTTTTATCGGCTCCGAAAGTGGATGTGGCCATGTAGTTCCAGACGGCATAAAATGGATGTACGTGACGCTAGTGTACGACCTAGAAATATAAGCGTTAAGGCTGATTTATGCAGGCCGTAACTGTTCATTTATGCCGGAACCGTTAAAGTTTAACACTAGGATTACAATCTAATTTCAGCCTAGAATCTATCTCTTTTAAATTCTGCGCATTTTTCTGCGCATACGCTCGACGCTTAATGCTGCCATGTAAAGGTACCTTAACGGTTCCGGCATAAATTAACAGTTACGGCCTGCATAAATCAGCCTTTACACGAAAAACGGCAGCGTGGCGACTCTCATTCTTCTCTCTGCTGAGACTAAGCGATGCGCTTCCTTAGTTACGATACGGTGATGCATTGCTAAGGACCGAGGGGTAAGACGGGAGCAGTGAGCAGTAGGCGTGAGCTAAAAAATCCAGCCGAAAGTTACAAATAAATCCCAGTTCACTTATATGGTAAGTCGTTGGACAGGGTTCTTATTCCTACCGCAACATCTTTATTCTCATGTCGCTACCGTCAACTCAGAGTTTCAAGGCGACTCAGGAGCAGGGTTGGGCAATTTGGCGCTGCGAATGGTTTTGTACGATTCCTAAGCCTTTAAACGTATAATACGTATAAAACGTATAAAACGTATTATACATGGCAAAACTGTAAAGGCCCTATTACACTATGGTTTGCGGGCTCGGTTGCGGTTGAGGGTACCGTTGATGTTTGCGGATTGACCAATCAGAGCAAAGCAGCTTGTCGGCTGATTGGTCAATCCGCAACTGTCAACCGTAACTCTAACCGCAACCAACCTCTTTAGTGAAATACAACCTTAAAAAGCGGGATTCTGACCTAATAAAGTAGTAAACCAGGAAAATAACCGAATACGGACGTGTTTAAAATATTGTTTTTTTCTGGTTTTTGGTTAGACTCGATTGCACATGCGCACTATAGTGGCGCCACTTTAC